TTAGAAAGTTACTTTTAGTGCTGACTTACATTCTGAGGCTGCTTGTTTCCACTTCCATATTATACTGTCAGTCAGGGTAGTGTGACTGTGCACCTGCATGGTAAACTGCATCCAAAAAGTTATCCTTGCAAAAAAAAAAAAAATAAAAAAAAAATTAATGCTGAACAGTTCCTGAGGAAAGGGTTTTTAATAAGGCTGAAGGAAATGCCTATGAAATTATGACTGTGACTGGAATATACTTGGTTCAGTCTGAAAGAGCACCAAGTTCAGACTTAACAGGTTAGAGTCAATTGTTCCTGGATAATTGGATTATGTGATCARTTAAGCAACTTGTGGAGCAGAGATGGGTCTTAGGAGGGAGCGAGGTGACAGACTATTATGGAACAGGAGAGAATCATCAGCTTTTGTGGAATTAGAGCAAGCTGTAACTATAGTTGTGGCTAGTGTGATTCAAAAGCTGTTCCTATCACTGTTGCTTWATGTACTTACTCAACATACTGAGATTGCTTGCATAGTGTGTATTCCCTGCATTTGTTGTGTTTACACAGCTTTTACATAACAAACCTTTTCTGTCAATGGGAAAATTATTAGAACCGAACTTGTATCTATTGAAATTTTATCAGGGCTCCYTACTGGCTTGAAATGTAGAGAATCAGTCAAAAGTTGGGTCCTGTTTGGGGTTTTTCTATAAAACAGTGTATTTTATTATTTAGTAGAAATCATCTGATGAGCATACTCATGTTAAAAAAACACCTTCCTGTRTACCAATATTTTTTGTAAAAGAGTCTATTTCTTAATTGTTGCAAGGGTCTAGTCAGAATTTGTCATCTCCATTTCCTTTGTGGTTAATGTAAGGCAAAAGAGAGAAATAAAGTCCTTCAGGTTGCATTTCCATCCCTGCTGGTTTAGATGAGAGAAATTGCTTTCTGAAGATGCAAGTGTCTCTTGGGTTATCAGAGGGAGCATAGGTCTAAGTATGCACTAAGAATTTTCAGGCAGCTAAAGCTGTGGGAGGCAAATCTCACTGAACATGTCATTTGTTAAGGTCATTGTGTGGGCTGTGACATAAACTTTATGGTGTATGTTTCTTGTATAACTTTTATTTTTATTTTAGCATGGCTGTTGTGGTAGTCTTACTGACTGTATGAATAACCAATTCTTGAATTCCATCAAATTCTTGGCTCCTCTGCATRCCACATGCATGGGCAATCTATAGCAAACTGTACCATTAGTGAWAAAAAAGGTTTACTTTCTCCTGTCAGCTCAGACTAATTGCATGTCACCTTGTTTTCATGAGGAGGCAGAAATTAAGTCTATTTTGTTATTCTTTCTTTCAAGTCAAATCGTACCAATCTTTTTGGAGTTTCTTTCTCTGCTAACTTCTGTGAGAGTCCTCCTCTTTTGTGCCAAAAATCTTACTRTTCTGAATTATGCTAGGAAACACAGCAAAACAAGCTTAAACAGTACAATGGGTTTATACAATAACTTTGGAATATTTTTCCTGTTATTTTCATCTCTTTTCTATGTATGCAAACAAGGTGTTAGGTGTTATGATCACTGATAGCAACTGAGCAAATGTTTTCATTTAACTTTCCATGCTGATGCACAGCTATGGCTTTTGTTTTTCCTGAGCTAATAACAGCTCACTTTAYCCCTACCAGGAACTGTTCAAATTAATCCCTTTTGTGTGGATTGCTTTGCATTCATAAGCATCTAATTTCATTTGTTCCTGATGTTGAATCACTGGTAGCTCCCACACATGGAGCAGTAGATACTAAACAGATACTAGAATACAGGGCAAAGAATGACAAAAACTGCTAAAGCACTGCCACTCTAGCTCCTCAAGAGAACTAGGTAGAGTCTTGTGTTTGTTTCCTGCGTTGGAGGAAAGTCAGCATAGTTCTGGTTTCCTTTCAGTCTGGCATTTATCTTAACACATTCACTTGGGAAGACTACATTCATTCTGCCTTTTGGCAGCTTCACCGTGGTCCCTTCAGACCTTCTGCTGTCCTGACTCCCCAGGATAAGGAAACTTTTGGATTTGACTCAAAACATCAGTTGCCTTAAGCCCCGTCCTTGCTTCTGGCCTGGTTTGGTTTTGKTTTTTTTTCAAATGATTTCAAACCAAAAGAGGATTCTTGGCTGCACAGCATGATGTAGTTTGGCTGAGATTTGGGGATCTGTAATGTTTAAAGAGCAAGTTAGGCCACTTTGCTGAGAGCATAGGTTAAAGCAGTGTTATTAGCAAACAGTGCCATTCAGGTTAACAGAGGGCCGAGACATTTTGCAAAACAACGTATATATATTTGCAGTGAAATTAGTCTATTATAAYGCAAATTCTCCCATAAAAATCCAAATTAGATCTCAAGATGCAACACTGATGTTTTGCTTATAGCATCTTTCGCCATTCATATCTGCCTTCAGTTCTGATATTTTATTCCTTCAGGATGACACAGACGTTATTTGTCCCACATCCCATATGTCCAAATCACATATAAAGATATTTAGCTCAAATACCATGGGTGTGAAACATTCCATGCTGTGGGTCCAGGGTGACGTTAGGCGTGTCTTTAACATGCTGTGGTGTTCAGTTACAATACAGCAAATTTATTTTTATGTAGCCTTCTTCATTGAAAGTATGGAAAATTGCTTTGCAGTGAGTCATCTGACAGCTAAAGAACTAAAAGTCTGTAGTGATATTTAAAGAGAAAGTGGCTCAGAGCTGGCAGAGTTCAAGACAGAAAAAGAAACAGAAATTAAAGAGAGGGCCTCCAACCATGGAGAAAATAGCAACAAAGACTGGTTAGGGGGAGGAGTGATGAGAAAGCCAAACAAGCTGAGAATGTCAGAGACAGTTCAGGAGATTATGCATATCATTTTGGAAAAAAGCATTGGACTTCAGATRTCTCTCCTGCATCACACCAGTGTTAGCCAAACAAGGTTGCTTTGACCCTAAAGGAATGGTGTAGATCTGGATAAATAAGAGTATTGGGCTCAGGCCACTGTAAAGAATTTAGAAACATGAAGGTAGGAGTTGAGAGAAGAATTAATGGCTTAACTTTTTAAAGTGAAACATTAGAACGTTGTGGTTTTGCCTTGGCTGAACACCAGGTGCCCACCAACACCATTCTATTGCTGTCTTCCTCAGCTGGCCAGGAGATAGAAAATATTACTAAAGGATCACAAGGGCAGGGAGAAACCACTCACCATTTGCTGTCATAGGTAAAACAGACTCTACTTGGGGAAACTGATTGAATTTGTTAGCAATCAAAATTAGAGCAGGATAGTGAAAGGTAAAAATCAAATCTTAAAAAGCACCTTCGTGCCCCCCC